CATATTCAAATATTCGTGTTCTGCCCTACTGATTTCTTTTGAAAGCGATAGTTTTTATGGTATTAGGCCGTGGGATGAGCATCCAAAAGATGCTTAGAAAACGGATTCCGTTGCACCCCTCGTGGAACTACGTAATTTTCACATGAATAAATAGATAAAAACTTACTTTATCAGAATCCGTTGCTCCCCAAGCGAAACAGGTGCACAATTGGTAGAAAAATCCCTCCAAAGTTTGATATTTTCGCGCTTCGAAATATTCGAACCGCCATTGTTTTGATAGCAAATACGCATGCGCAACTCAGCCAAACTCGCATTGCGCACGCGCACAACCAACGCACATGCTTCGAAGTGGAAACACGCTCAGTTATGCAAATAAACATGGCTGAAGATATTTACATTTATAAAACTCGAATATCCTCATGTTTTATGCATTTTGAGCGTTACGGAGCAACTTTGCAAAGTTACACGCCAAAGGCTTAAGAAATTTCTTGAGTGTAGGTCAAAATGGGCCAAACTTAAATGTCAACAAGCTGAAATAGCTAAGAAATCGTACGAGAACATCGATGACGGATCTGTCAATTCATACATGGAGAAGAACCCTGACACCATTAACTTAGAATGGAACCATCATATGAAATGCTGGAAGAAATTTTGTGATGAAGAGAAGATCTGTAGATAACAGAGAAAAGAAGAAAAAGGAGAAGGAACTAGCTCTAAAACTATAACTTCTACCGAAGAATCACACGTGGAAGTGGAGGCAATAGAACCAAGGCGAAAAATTAATACACGTCAATCAGTCGCAGAAGCTATAAATATAAAGGCCCTGCCTAAAAGAAACGCGCATGTACTCCCAGAGATATGTAATATTTGTGGAAGAGACGCCTCATGGTTCTCACTAGACAAGGTATGGTATTTTGATAGGTATATTACTAGCGCAATGTGCACAACATTCTCAGGTTTGGTTTTAAAATATATTGAATTGTGATCAATTTAGTTTATATAGGGTAAAGTAGTTTCTATGCTACAAACATCCAACCTTGTTATTAGCAGATATTTAGTTTAATAATTTATTTTGTTTAACACCAGGTAACTAAGAAGAGAAGAAGAACCCCACTCATGTTGGCAGAAACAATTGATGCTGGTCTTCTATGTACAGCTGCCGAGAGAAAGAATGATCAACAGATACTCATGCAAATCCAGGGGAAAGAGGTCAGCACTTGTTTCCAACCACCAAACTGACATGACGTCATTTTCGGAAGATTGAAGGGGTGTTAAATGGCTATGTAACTAGCCCAAACCCTACCCCTACTCTAACCCCTAGCCCTAACCGCAACCCTAACTCTAACCCTAACCAAATTAATAAAAAAATCCAAAAAGAAACAACTTTAGAAATTGATCAAATGACGTAATGTCATTTTGGTAGATGGAAACAAGTGAAAACCGGGGAAAGACTGTGTATCTCTGGAAATCCGCTATCACAAAGTTTGCTACTGCAATTATACAATATTTTTCGCCAGAGAGACGAAGAAGCAACGAGAGTATCAGTTTACGGGAAGTCTTATGATGTATTCTGTAAGAAAGTAATTGAGATGGAGGTCATCGGAAATAAGCAAATAAAGTATATGAAAGATTTGCTGGAGAAATTTGTTATCATTGCTAAGGACACTGAGAATGTGGATGCATCTAGATATAGAGCTTTTAAACTCAAGCAACGACTGATGAAAAGTTATCCCCAACTTGTGTTCTGTGTACCGAAAATGAGAAATGTTAGTGAGATTGTATATGTGGAAAATTTGGATTCTTCTGAATTGGTTGAGGAACATATGTCAATTAAGGGCCTGTTTATGTGGAAGCCGGGCTGGCCCGCTTAGCGAGGCAGCCCGGTAAGCGGGATGAATTTCTCTTGTGTTTATATGATAAACTTTCATCCCGCTTGCCAGGACAATTTTGTTACATTGTATTGTTTTGACAGTTGTTAAAAATAGCTTGCGGCGGTATTTTTGAACTTTCATCCCAGCAACCGGGATAGCCCGCTTGTAAATGTTTATATGGAGAAATTTCCATCCCAGTAAGCGAGATCTAGCCTGAGTAGCCTCTTTCAAACGAGATCTCGGCAACCGGGCCAGCCCGCTTGTCCATATAAACGCATGATAATTTTTACTATAAAAATAACTACACAGCGAGATCTTGCTTTAAAACCGGGCTGTCTTGCTTAACAGGCCAGCCCAGCTTCTATATAAACAGGCCCTAAGTCTGAAAACAATGATGAGGACTTTGATGATGAGAGCTGTACCATTGATGATGATGATGATGTGAATTCCAACACAGAAACTGAGGGAAATTCTAAAGTCAATGAGTTACAAATTCTATACAATGCTTGATTCTTCACCAAAAGGTGCAAGAAATACCAAAACTGAATCTTCCTTGGCCACCATTGGCATCTGATTTGACAAGGGATAATATTTCAAATCCAACTATGAGGACTGGACTAGATTTCAAGTCCACACAATTTGATCACGTCCAAGGTGAATCAGAGGACTGGATCAAAATGTGAGGACTTGAAATCTAGTCCAGTCCGAATTGGAGGATTTGAAATGACATCTCATGTACGAATAAATCACTACTTAATTAATTTTGATCCAGTCCAAGGACTGAATTAATTTTAATCCAGTCCAAGGACACTAAAGGATCAATATACTTCATAAAGTATCTAGTATTATCATGTGAGCAAAATAAGCAATATGGTTGGCTAATTTGCTCATGAATTATTAATGATTTGAGGTGAACAATGATGGGAATGCATGTAGGTATTATCAGTGGAGTAGATCAGTATTTATTTACTTATTCGATATTCTCATTCGGATCCACAGTATTTATATTATCAACAAATATATCCCTCTCATGGACAGAGTTAACAGTATGGTCATGTCTGAGAAGCTAAAACGCACCCTGGTGGAGGAGCTGAAA